ACGATCGATATTATCGACCAGGTGATACAACTTTTATCTATGGTTATTGGTTATTTACTCAGTTTAATAGCCATTTATTTATTATTTTAAATATCCGCATAATATTTACACAATAAACACACATATGAAATGATAATTCAGAAGAAGATTTTTGATACATAAATGCGTCAAGCGCAATCTAGGCGGATTTGCCCATTCTCCTTTCAGGCTGCGACCGCGCCTGGTGTTTAGTCACCTCCTCATCGCCTATGATGCGGATCGCGCGCCGCTGTAACCTATCCAAAGCATCGAGCAAGTACTTGGCGGAGCCATCCCAGAGGTGCGAGCAATATTCCACGCAGGACCGCACTTGCGTTTTGTACAACAAGCACAGTTGATCGGGCGTGAAAAAACGCCGCACCTTGTTCAGGACTCCGAGTTTGCGTGAAGCTGTTTTGATCACGGTTTTGATGTAGTTCTTTGGATTCAAGTCTGAGCGAACTTCCATACCGAGCATGAAAATGTTGCTCTGTAGCGGTAGTGTTGTGCCCTGAAGAGAGGGAAGGGGAAGGAACGGCGATGTTTTTACCGTAAAAGCGCAGACCTGGGTTTTCTTAGGATTGAACTCAACCAAGTTCTTGGTACCCCATTCAGAAATGTGGTTCAAAGCCTTGTGCTCAATGACAAGATGCTCCCGTTTCTCCTTGGTTACCGCTTGCCCAGCCGCTGCTTGTCCGAGATACCCCGCATGCACTGTACTATCGTCTGCATAGCAATGAATATTCCCAAGAGGAATTAAGTCATTGATATGCAGCAGAAAGAGAGTGGGGGATAGGACGGAGCCCTGGGGAACGCCGGCATTCACTGACATGAACCGCGAACTGCTACCATCCGTAAGGACACGAATTCTACGCTCATGCAGGAAGTCAGCTACCCAAGAACAGAACTGGGCTGGCAGACCGTATGCCGGAAGCTTGGAGAGAAGGTTTTTGTGCCATACCCTGTCGAACGCCTTGGCAATGTCAAGGCTGATAGCCAACGACTCGCCACGCTTGTCGATAGCCTCACCCCAGATATGAGTCAAGTACGCTAGAAGATCACCCGTCGATCGTTTTGGTCTAAAACCATATTAACGATCATTAATCAGGGAGTGATCCTCTAGGTAGCGGGTCAGATGGTTATTAAGGACCTTTTCTAGAACTTTACATAAAACTGAGGTGACTGCTATTGGCCGGTAGTTTGCCGGGTCTGAGCGATCCTCTTTTTTGGGCACCGGTTGCACATTAGCATCTCTCCAAGTCTCCGGCACACGCCCCAAAGAATACGAGCATTGGTACAAGCGCGTGAGCACGGGAGACAACTCCGCTGCACATTTTTTAAGTACTACTGCTGGGATGCCATCAGGTCCACTAACTTTCCGGACGTCGAGTGATTGCAATTCGGCACGAACCTCGCGCTGCCTGATTTTAATATCGGGCATCGTTGTGCCACAGTGAGGTAATGATGGTGGCAGTGCATTGCAATCATCGATTCGAGAGTTAGCCGCAAAGTGTTTTGCCAGTAAATCGGCTTTCTCCTGCGGCTTATGGGCTAGTGTTCCGTCTGGGCATCTCAGAGGTGGCAGCGAGGGCTCGCAGAAGTTTTTTTGCACGGCCTTGGCCAGACGCCAGTAGCTACGGGAGCCCGTAGGATGCGACATAAGTTCCTGGCCAACACGTGCAACGCGCTGGGCATCCGCTCTGATGTAAGCCTTCTTACAGGCCTTGGAAGCAAAATTGTAGGCTACTTTGAGTGAATCGACCTCGGGATCCTTGAGAGCGCGGTCTCTGATCCAAGCACGATATGCCGCTTACTTACGCGAAGCAGTTTCAGCACAGTCGTGATTGAACCAGAGGTTACGTGTGCCCTTACTGATGAGATCAGAATGAGGAATATAGTATTCCATACCCATTATAATCTCCTCAGTAATGGTAACGGCACTGGCCGATAGGTCCCTGTCACTGAAGCAGCGCTGCTTCCAAGGGACGGACGCAAAGTAGTCACGCATACCGTCCCAATCTGCCGACCCATAATGCCAGATACGGTGCTTGACCACTGCTGCACGCGGAGGCTTGGCCTGTGGTGCTTTGGCAGATATCAGGCAGTGGTCTGACGAGCCCAGGGGGGCTCTTATCACAACCTGATAGCCCTGTGGATGGGTCGTGAGCAGAAGGTCCAGTAAAGAAGGCGCTTGACTTGGAATATCTGATTTCCTGGTGGGCTGATCAACCAGTTGCTTCAAGTCATACGTGAGAGCGAATGCGTGAGCAGAAACCCCTGCATGGTCAGTTTTGGAAGAACTTAACCACAAATTGTAGTGAGCATTAAAGTCCCCCAAAAACACCAATTCTGCATTGGGAAATTGTTCCTGCGCGTCATCTGCTGCCCGACTAAGGTGCTCAAAAAGTCGAGTTGTCTCAACATCGCCGGTGTGGGATCTGTAGAGGCACACGTAAACTCTGGCCAGGGGGCCAGAGTCGACGTGTACCCCTAGTATGGAGAAGGAGGGATCTTCCAAGCAGCGGTGACGGCGACAACAAACATCCGCCCGAACATACAGGCATACACCGGCTTTCGCTTTGAAGGACTCTTCAAGCACGTAGCTGGGATAATTCAGGTAGCCTGTGTCAGCAGGCGGAAGTATTTGTGTCTCCGTCAGGAACAACAATGCTGGCCGTGCTGTCTCAAGATGGTGGTGGACAGCGTTGAGGTTAGAGTGGAGTCCGCGTATGTTGCAGAACTCGACCTCAAACAGCGTTGAAGGCGTGGGGGTGGTGCACCACTGTACGTCCAAACTTTGTTTTAGGAGCTGCCATTATGGAAGTGAAAAAGAGACGTGAAACGAGTGGACGTTGTCGCGACAAGACCGGGCAAATTAGGGAGGCATGTTTCCCCGAATGATTGCCTGCAGAGGATATACGCCGACCCGCCGGACGGAAGAGCCCCCGCACCCCCCCGGGAGTGGCCGCAGGGACCCCATGCCCCGGTCACCAATCGGCACGACGGTCCATCCCGAGATTATGCGTGACATGATGGGGCAGCCTCGCGAACTGGTTAGGAACGCTCGGGCCCCTGTACTGTGCCACGGGCGGCCAACGGGACGGCCGTTTCTACGGGTCTCCCTGGCCGGCGGGTCGATGCAGTCCTCCCGGCATCGGTTCCACGGATGCCTAGCCCTGGACCGAATCCGTCGCGACAACCTCCACTCGAGCCCTGGTTGTACGCTGGCTGACCCCGAAACGCGCGAGAAGCACTTCACGGGTTTTTCACCATGCGCATGGTGGTAACAAACCAGGCGGGTGTTAGGCACCCTACCACCAGCAGAGCGGATGAAAGCTCCGATATCCCTTAGTCGCCTCTTACGACACCCACGGGAAGAGAAGGGGCGGTGAGTTGTATTCTTTCTCCGTCACCGCACGGACAGAATTTGCACATAATTCTATTCATATCCACCAATCACGACCTTCTGGGTGCGATTACTAATGTAGGATTTAAACCATCTCCAAAGGTCCCCACGGATGCCATTGTAAGCCAGCTTTTCGAGAAGTATTTCATGATCGATCCTGATGTCAAAGGCCTTTCGAAAATCAGTGTACACATAGTCTACTTGTTTTTCTTTTTTTTTTGTTTTTTTGTTTTTTTTTTTTTTAGCATCAATACTCTCAAAAATATGTGATAAATAAATCATAAGATTTGTACTTGTTGATCTGCGTTTTACTAAACCGTATTGCTGTTCAATGATAATATTATGTAAAGATGGATATATACTATTGTGAACCAGCTTTTCAAAAACCTTTGACAGGGTGCACAAAATGGATATAGGGCGATAGTTCTATCACCGCCCTGGAAAACCGGGAAAATACGCGCAGCTTTCCAGATAGCCGGAAATACACCTTCTTTGAGACATTTGTTAAACATGTATTGTATTGGATAACATTGCGTTTTAGCGGTAAGTTTAAGAAAACATACCGGTATGTCATCAACACCAGGGCCCTTGGAGACATCCAAATAGGGTATTTGACAAGTTTTAGAAAATGATTTCACGTTATTGACTAATGTTTATGGAGTCCATAAAAAGTGGATAAGAACACACACATATTTACACCTGTAATGAATATAATTCGAGCAGATGTGGAAAAACCAAAAAGAAAAAAAAGGCGCTTGCTAATTTTCGACGTACCGCATAGGTACGGTAATGGAGCAAAAAAATATATTAGAATAACTGCAAAGTTATGTTGCCTTTATTAATTTGTATTTTTCCCCCTTTTTTAAATTTTATTCTTTCCTTTGATTTTTTATTTTATTCGTTTTTAATTTTGTATTTTTGTATGTTCTGTGTTTTTTGACCCTTGGTTTTTAAGATGCACGTACTCAGAACTTCCACAACTTTACACCTGTAATGAATACAATTCGAGCAGGTGTGTAAAAAATTAAGAAGAATAAAAAAATAAGGCACTTACCGTAAGCGATTACTGAAATTGCTGAAAGCTGACTCGATACATTTCGTGTCAAACACTCCAAGAAACATTAGAATGCGCCACATCCACATTCCAATGTAAAAAAAGAACAAGGAAAACAGAAGACTAGGCTGCATGGCCATTGTTCTCTGTGCCTTCCCTAAAAAGAACTTAAAAAAAGTTAGTTATATAAAAAAAAATACTGGGGGTTTTTGGCGGGATTTCATCGGGTGCGGTTGGCGTCTTATTTTAATTATTCTTAAATTCGTTCATAGTGGGTATTGTGAAATAAAATTGGTGTGGTTTTGTGTAAAAACTGTCTGCGTAACTGTAGAATTAGTGGAATCATTAAAATATACGCTATTCCGGTCAAGTGGACGTGAGAATTTTATTGTAGTGTTGACTACCTCACAGAAGCTTATCGAAAAAGCCAACTCGATACATTTCGTGCCAAACACTCCAAGAAACATTAGAATGCGTCACACCGACATTCTAATGTAAAAACAAAAAGAAGATTAAAGACCAGGCTGTATGGGCATTGTTCCCTTTGCCTTCCCTAAAACGGAAGAACTTCAACAAAAAAAAATACTAAAATAAACAAAACTTTAGTGGCAATCTTTATGATTTGTGTTATTGAGGAATTCAAAATTTAATAAAACTAAATTACTCGGCTATCAGCTGATTGTTCTGAAAAATGGCTGATGATATTTTATTTGATTTATTACATTCTGAAATTATTAACTATGCATTGGAACAATCTAAAGAGAATGGCAATAAAAAGGTATGTACAGAAAGATTAATTTGTGAACGTAGCTCGCACTGCCCTGTATTTGTGAGCTGTTATTTATTTGGCAAACATAAATAATCATATTAGTACTGGCGAAGGTGAAATAGGTATATAAGATTTATTTTGTATGCTTAGGAGGTAGACTTATCAATTGTGGAATATATTGGCTTTGCTGCTGGATATAAAATCATGGAAAGGTTGACTCGAGAGTGGCCAAGATTTAAAGATGAGCTGGATACTATGAAGTTTATATGTACAGATTTTTGGACATGTATATATAAAAAACAAATTGACAACTTGAGAACTAACCATCAAGGTGTTTATGTTTTACAAGATAATGGATTTCGATTTTTGACAAACTTTTCCAATGGCCATCAATATTTGGAATTTGCCCCACGAGTGAGTTAAATACATGTACTTACATAAATTATTATTCATTTGCAACCATAGTATGATTCTCTAAACCTAAAATTAAATATGATTAAGTTGTATTCTTGACAAACTCTATACAGAATGTTAGTTTTAAGTATAGAGAATCCGGCCCAATGTCTATATGACTACATAATATAAAACCACATCTTTCTATATTTTCAATAATTACTGAATAAATTTTCATGTGGTTATCAGTTGTCTATCAACCAAGTAATTCCTGAAGAAGGCATAGGTGTATAGTTCATAAGGGTTTGGTAATGTTAATTATTATTGAAAAAAAATCATGACAAATTGATGTTTCTCTTATAAATAAAAAAGTGCAATTGTGTGTTTCTAACTCTTTAATAATGACCCAAACATGAGCCTTCCTAGCGGGCATTAATTACCATAAATAGAGTTTTGAGTAAGGTCTCCAGAACTGTTTATGAAAGATACACTCATAATATTGAAACATGCTACCCTTTGTATAATATAAATAATATAGTGATAATTTTGGGTTACAGAAAATTTTGGTTTATACCTGTCTGATTGTATGATGCTGTAACTAGTAGACCTTGTAACAGACACATCCAGCGGCGGGACTGCCACAAATTGTTTTTACAAGGGTACCTAAGTCTGGTTTCATGTTTTTGTGTGAAAAATTCCTTAAATTTGTCTTTTTCCAGAATTTTCACTGGAGATATACTAGTAAATAGCTTTAGGTACCCCTGTGAATTCAACTTGATTACTTTCGTTTACTTTTAAATAAATAAGGAAACCTAAAATAGTTGCTGGAAATACAATTTTTGACTCTCCTGCTGCTGGATGTATGTGCTAGTTTTAGCTCACCCTCTCATTACTGCAGCTGTAGTGCTGCTAATATTGGTAACATCCAATCATAAATAACTTATTTTAAAGAAGTTGTAAACTAAATTTTTTAAAATTTATTTTCAGTTTGTAGCTTACACATGTGGACTAATCAGAGGAGGTTTGGCAAATTTGTGCATCAACAGTGTAGTTACTGCAGAAGTTCAGTCTATGCCATCTTGTAAATTCCATATACATGTTCAAAGAACGTAAATAAATCAAAATATTATTCATTACAAATTAATTTATTTCCTTTCTTATCCTTGTTCATTCAACAGTGACTAAATAGTAAATAAAATTTATAAATCAACCAAAGTGCATGGATCTCAGACCATATGGTAAATGCTTAATGCTCTAAGTTTGTATTGCATACCTTGACAAATGATGGTGTGAGAGATATAGAACAGAGGCCTTTTACCCCTTATAGGATCACCATAATAGCCTGCCCATAAGGGAGACTTCTGTCCGCGGAGGACTTTTATCCGCCGAAATATGTCGCTTACCTTGATCGCTTGATCGCAGTAATACTGCCTTGAGTAACGCACACGACTGATTAAAAAATACCGCGGGCCAAAAGTCCCGCGAACCCCGGGGGAAAGGACAGGACAAAATTACGCAAGTGTCCTCGAAAAAAAAACCTGTTTCTCATGGTCCTCCTAGTGGGACCATGAGGAAGCCCTATTCCTCGTAGGCTTATCGGTTGGACAAATTATTTACTGATAAATTTTTATGTTCCCTTAAGCCGAGTTCGAAATATGATGTGTAAAAAAAACTAAAGATAATTTATACTAGAAAAAAATTCAACTCAGGCAGGACTCGAACCTGCATCTTCCGCTATCCGGGTTAAGTTAGTGCTTCCGCCCGGACAACAGAAGACGAAGGTTCGAGTCCTACCTGAAACCTTGACCGAGTTGAATTTTCTCTAGTAAATGTATTTGACATAATTATATAAATAACTAGCTGATCCAGCGAACTTCGTACCGCCATAAAAAAATAGGGGTTGGCGGTAGAAGGGTGAAAATTTAGGGTTGTATGTATTTTTGTATGATGTAACATAAAAAAATAAAAAATATTTTATCTTAAATAAAAATAAAAATTAGGGGTGAATTACCCTTAACATTTAGGGGAATGAAAAATAGATGTTGTCCGATTCTCAGACCTACCCGATATGCACACAAATTTTCATGAGAATCGGGAAAGCCGTTTCGGAGGAGTTTAACCACAAACACCGCGACACGAGAATTTTATATATTGTTTTATTAGCTTTAGGTAGGCTTGCTGAAAATATATCGATATTTTTTGTTCAATATATCGATATTTTTAACCGATATATTTTGATTCGATATATCGATACATTGATATAAAATAACCAATATCGAAATTCGTATCAAAAACGATATTTTTTTTAATTATTAGCGGCATATCACGATCTAACTAAATTCGTATCTGGAAAAATCGTAACTGAAGCTCAGATTAATGATATTCAACATATCTATGATTTGTGCTGTATTTAGTATTTTCTATGATTTGTAAATCTGTTTCGCTGGTGAATTGGTTGTGCTGAATTCCATTATATTCTGTGGAAGTGTGTGACTGTCTAGTGTTGTTTACGAAAGATGCCACGTAAGGAGGCCCTGCAATAATTTTCATCATTCTAAAATAGGGTATATTTTTAGGGAGATAATTTTCGTTCCATTATTATTCCGCGTGTCATCTTTCGTGAGATATTGTACTGTCATGTAGTGTAGCGGCAATTTGGTACTTTGATAATTCTTTCTTTAATTATAATTTGTATTATTATTATTGCTGACCTAAATATATTTTTGGGAAAATTGATCCGATATATCGATGTTTTTTTCGCGATATATCGAAGCCGATATTGATATTTTTTAAAATATCGATATATCGATATTTTTTTCAACTTTCGACATCCCTAGCTTTAGGGGAGTGTTTAAAACAGTTAGTACGCTCAAAAACGTTCCATAATTGAACTATAACTGTGAGTATTACTGTATATCTCTTAAATAACATGCACCCTTTGCGTTTAAGAGTTTTACATGTACCTGTGTAATCGTTACTTTTAGTATGGAGGAAACTGAACGGAGGAATTTTACCTTGATTATTGGTACAAAGTTAAAGGAACCTTCTGTTCCTAAGACTCCAGAACCTTTTATTAAATGGTTGCATAATGTTCAGCATTTAGATAGTGATGCTTGGAATGATATTAGATATTCAGAGACACAGAAATCTTATATATTTTCACCAGGATTTAAAGAACTTGATTGTAATGAGGAGGTTAAAGGATTCGAGTCGCCTAAACATTTGGCTCTTCCTGACAAAGCTTTTGCTGGCCTTATTATGTGCGTTAAAGCAACAAGAATCCTTGCAGACAGCTCTACGTGATTTATTGGCTTGGTCAAGGGAATCGAAAAGCTTCAATGTTGAAGACCAGTGATAAGATTTACGAACTTTTTCCACAGGAGATTTTTTATATTTTTTTTTAGATTTGCTCTAACTAGTGTGTGGCCATCGACCGGAAGTGATAGAAGTGTGGAGACATCATGTGATCAATTGTGTGGAAAGGATCCTTTCTTTGGTGAAATCATTGCTGCAAAAAGTACCTCTCCAACGAGCACACATCTCTTCAAAGCAGAGCAGTTCACTTCCGTGCAACCAAGGAAGTGATCTTAAAGAGAGCTGGAGGAGTAAAAAAATGTTTTTGGCCCACACTGAAGGTCAGAGTTGTATCTGCCTCGGAGGCAGATAAAATTGGATAAAAACCGCACCCGTGTCCCCTTGCAGGGTTGTCACGGTCACTCAAACCCTGGACATTGTTCCAATTTCTCACCTGCGCAAGGTTACTTTAGAGCTTTCTGTAGCTATGGAGTGCGAAATAATTATTCGGTCGCACCGAGCAACACGAATAGCAATTCCTTTCGCGGACACTTGTCCCGAGTCCCGACCTAGCGCTAAGCAGCAGCTACGACTTAAAGGACGCAAACAATGCGTTCCCGTCCAACTATCATAAAGATAAAAAGCGACGAAAATGTTGACTCAGGCAAGTTCAAAGCTGGACACCTGTCCCAATTCCGGAACCAATGGGTTCAATTGGGGGCTCCCAGTCACATATTAACACTTCTAAAAGGTATATCTATCCCAATGTATTGGAAAATATAGTTGTTGTCAAGGCATCGCAAGACATGACACTTATAATAAATTAATTGAAGGATCAGGGGTGCTTCTCGAGAGAGCCGAATTGTCACCAAGTTTCCAGGTCCTCCATGTTTATGGTCCCGACGGGCGATGGCACCGCTCGACCCATCTTCAACTTGAAGGCTTTACAGTTACATCATCACCGACAAGTTCAAAATTATAAATGTGCAGCGTGTACCAGCGCTCGTGCAACCAATGGATTAGCAGTGCAGTATAGACCACTCCCAGATGGACTTTCAATTTCCTGTAGCTCGCAGCCACAGAAAGTTCATACGTCATAAATATCGAGCCGAATTACCGCAAATGACTTGCCTATCGTTTACGGCAACGCACGGCCTAAAAACATTTGCAACAATGACGAATTGGATTGCACAAATTCTAAGTGACTAAATTTACCAGTTATTGGTGTCGATTATGGCAGGATTCTCTAAACGTTAAACTAAATTTGACATCAGTCTGTCCTTTTCAGTCTGTATAGAGAATGACAGAGATACACTGTTGTCAAATTAAAGCTTTTAGCTTTAGAGAATCATGCTAGTATCGATACCATTGTCTATTTAGAAGACTTTTTAGTGGTTCACCGGGACTGGAAGCTGCTGCAGAGTCATGTTGCTTCCATGACCAAAATCCTGGACAAATTGGGATGGATGATCAACCTGGATAAAACTTGTTTGATATCAATGAAAAGTTTAGCTTACTTAGGCATTCTATGGAATCCCTGGTCCAACCAAAAACAGCTACCAGAGGAAAAACTACAAGCTCTGCTACTCAAATTCAATTGAGCTCAGCCCCCCTAGCACGAGCACCGCGAAATGATATTGTACAGAACAGCCGCCGCCCTAATTCAATAGTTTAATAATCTTTATATGTTGTAAATAGTAATCTTAGTTAGTTATAAGTGAAATGTAAAATTATTGTTATTTTGTTAATAAAAGAGTTGCGCAACAGTCATTTCACAATAGGTAGGTACACATATTCAGTTACACAACGCTGTGCGAGACAGCACTACAGTCTCTCTCGCACAGTGTTATGATAGGCACACTGCCGCTATAACATCGCGCAAAGCGCGAACAGAAATAACACTGTGAGAGACAGCATTATAGGCTATCCCTCTCACAGTGTTCCGATAGGCGCACTAGCGCGGTGATATAGCGCGAAGTGCGAACAGGCACGACTTATGGAGCGAAATAGCAATACAGGCTCTCTTTCCCACAAGTGCTCTCCGATAGGTCCGCTACCGGCGGCAACATAGCGCTAAGTGCGAGCACTTGTGGCCTACATAGGTCGTGCCCAAAATAGCCTCGACCTCCTGAGGACCGCACTACGTCACTGCACGGATTCATATCTACCCTCAGTTTTCGGAACAAAAAATTGTAAGTTTTTTGCCTTTCCGAGACTGCCTGGCGCCACTACGAGCCAGCGGAGACTGCCACGCACTTAGCCGCAGGCCTTGAGCGCGCCGCAAGGCGCAGCTCGGCCAGAATCGCGCAGGCGTAGACCCCGACTCGCAGCATGGACGACCAGCCGTCCCCGCAGCCGTCTACCTCGCAGTGCCTCACTCCGATTTCGGACGAGGAGCTCGCCAACGTTTTAGCTCGATCGATCGAGATAACATCGCCCGGCGTCAAATATGCATTTGACGCCACGATGGTGTCTCGGCTCGTCGGGTCCGGCTTACTGTCGGACAGGCTGAACCGTTGGCTGAGCTCCTACGTCCGTTTGTTGGAGTTTGAGGCGGGCGAAATCCCTGCCCTCTGCCCAGCCGACGAGATGGCCATGGAGGCGTTGCAGGCACTGAGCGGATCACCGCTTGTGCTTCCGCCTCCCAGCACGCCTCTCCCTCGCAAACGTCGCCTCTCCACCACGCCGCCGAAACCAGAGAGCGAAAAGCGCCCCCGCACGGGACATCCGCGCGACCCGCGCATTCGCCGGTCGCTCAGCAGCGGCGACCGCCCTGTGCCCCAGCTGCCATCACCTGTGCCCACCTCACCAAGCCAGGCACAGACCCCTGCTCCACCCCGGGACCACCCAACCGCCACTCCAGACCAGCAGACTGCAGTACCGACACAGCCGTCGGTAACATACTCGGCAGTCGCGAAAAATTTCGCGACTACCCCCAACGCCGCCAAAAAATCTCCGACCGCCGCCGCTTCACAGATCGACGCACAGCCCGCGCAACCAGTCCGCGGCACCGCTCCCACGGCCCAACGGGTACAAAAATACCCGCCGCTAGTGGTTGAGCACCTGCCGGACTGGTCCGCGCATATGCGCCTTCTCCACAACGCCCTTGGCCGCGCACCGAATGCGCGCCCGTTCGGAACGGGCCTGCGCTTCATCCCAACGGACGACGAGGAAAACCGGCTCATCCGGGCCTACCTCTCCAAGCTGGAGGGCCAAACGGGTTTGAGCTGGTTCACATATGCCAGCCCCGAGGACTGCAGCCTTAAGGTGGCCATACGAGGGCTGCCTTACAGCACCGAGCCGCATCACATTGTTGAGGCCCTATCCGCCAAGGGCTTCCAATGTGAATACGCCAAGCAGATCCGGGCGCGAGCAGGCCGCCCCGGATGTATCTACTACGCTGCCCTGAAGCGAACACCAGGCACCATCCCGGCCATATACGCAGTGAGTGAGCTCCTGTGTATGGCCGGGATCACCATCGAAGCATGGAGGGGCAAGAAGGGCCCTGCGCAGTGCCACCGCTGCCAGGGCTTTCGACACTCCTCCAAGGGTTGTCACCGCGCGCTTGCCTGCGTGCGCTGCGGAGACCCGCACGCCGCCGCCGACTGCCCTCGCCCGCGTTCGCAACCTGCAACGTGTGCGAATTGCAAGGGCCCGCACCCAGCGAACCACAGTACGTGCCCCGCGAAACTCCGCGAGGCGCGTAACCGGAAGGCCTCCACTGTGGCCCGATCAGGCCGCACACCCAACCAACCGCCACCGAAACCACAAGAGGTGAGTGAGCACGCGCCGGCCACACTCATGGCACCGGCGAACGCCCCGCCCGCCCAGCACTCATCGAAGCCCCGCCGCCGACGCAACAGACGAAGCCGCCCCACCTCCAAACAAAGAGAAGAGGCGCCACCCGCTACCAACCCACCCGACGCAGCCACTACCCAACCCGACGCAGCCACCGCTACAGTTCCAGCAGTGGCCCCACCGTTTGACTTCTCGCAAATTGACCTCCAGGCGTTCAGCGCGGACCTCACCAGCCGGATACTGGAGGTCTTCAAAAATTTCGGGTAACCGAAAATTTTTATCTACCCACCACCTAGAGGCGCTCCCCCCTCTCGCCTAAGTCCATCGCTCGCTCGCTGGTCGCTCACTGGGCCTCCCCAATGGGTCCCACCCGGTGGGCTGGACCGCGCCGAGGGCGATGGTGAAGTCGCAGGGAGGGAGGATGACCCTAACGACCGTCCCGTTCGTAAACGGGATGCGCACCCGCCGCATCTATAATGGCAAGACGCCAGATGACTCCCCGCACGCCGCGGCGCCTACGGCGCCGGCGACGCGCGAGACGAAGATCGAGTGCCTCGACCTCCTGGACCGTACCTACGTCGCCGCGCACGGATCTATTTTCCTTAAAGTGCTCCGACGTAAAGCTGCGCCTTTATCGTATCGCGAGCACTGCCTGGCGCCATCACTCCAGCGTGGATATCGTCACATCACCCAGCCGCAGGCCTGAGCGCGCCGTAAGGCGCCGCTCGGTCAAGATCGCGCAGACGTAGCCCCCATCAACGCATCATCATGGAGAAAATCACAATGCCGCATCTTTACACCTACCCAACGGACACCGGACTGGCCCAAGCCAAGGCCCTCTTTGCGGCAAGGATGAGCGGCGCGGGATCGCCCCGCATCCAATATGAGTTGGAAGCAGCGATGACGTGCCGCCTTATGGACTCCGGCCTATTGCCACAGAGGTTAATTGACTGGATTTGGGTCTACCTCCGTCTCTTGGAAGAGGAAGAAACCAGCACCACCGATTACGGCCCCGAAGATGCCAGACTCATCGAGGCGAACCAGTACATAATGTACCGCCCACTCACGCTCCCGCCTGCTCAAAACTACCAAGAACAGGCCATCCGCAAACGCATCAAACCGATTGAGGGACGCCCCCGCCGATCACGCAGCCTAGGCAGTTCGCCTGCACTAAACCAGACGCCATTGCCCATCAAGGCAGCCACCCCCGCACCGCAACAAGTAATCCAAGCACAGACTGCTGTACCGACGCAGTCGTATGCCGAGGCCGCGAAAATTTTCACGCCTACCCCCGACACCGCCGAGAAAACTGTACCGACCGCCGCATCGCCGAGCCGACCGCGCAACCGGCCTCCTGCAGCGCTCCCACGCTCCCACGGGTCCGTAAACACCCGCCGATCGTGGTTGAGCAGCTGCAGGACTGGCCGAAGCACCTGCGCGCCATCCACACCAAGCTCGGCCGACCGCCCAGCGTGCGCCCGTTTGGTACGGGCGTACGCTTTACGCCGCAAGATGACGACGAGGGCCAGCTCGTCCAGGCCTACTTCTCTGAACAGGCCGGACTGAGCTGGTACGCCCACGCCCGCCCGGAAGACCGAAGCCTAAAGGTAGCCATCCGTGGCCTGCCTGTTGACACTCATCCCGATGACGTCGCCGAGGCCCTTGCAGAGAAGGGCTTCGTTGTAGAATACTCGAAGCAGATCCGGGCGCGAGCAGGCCGCCCCGGCTCACTGTACTTCGCAGCGCTACGCCAAACACCAGACCTCATCCCGGCCATCTACTCAGTGAGTGACCTCCTGAGTATGTCCGGGATCTCGATCGAAGCATGGAGAGGCAGGAAGACCCCCGCGCAGTGCCACCGCTGCCAGGGGTTCCGCCACTCCAGCCTTGGATGCCATCGCCCGCTTGCCTGCGTGCGATGCGGTGACCCGCACGCAGCCGCCGATTGCCCCCGCCCACGCACGCAGCCCGCGACTTGCGTGAACTGCGCGGGCGCGCACCCGGCCAACCACAGCGCGTGCCCCGCGCTCCAACGCGAGGCGCGCAACCGCCACGCCTCAACAGTGGCCCGCACGGGCCGCCCCCGACCATCCACCGTCACCGTACCAGTACAGCAGCCCAGCGAGGTGAGCGAGCACACGCCGGCCACCCTAATGGCCCCCGCGAACGCTCCTCCCTCGCACACCAGCCGCCCCAAACGCCGTCGCCGCAAACCCCGTCGAGCCAGCAATGCATCGCCGACGGACGCAACTACCGCCGCCCCATCACCCAATCCAACCGAAGTTGCCGCCACGGCTGCGGACACACCGCCGCCCACACCACCAACGCCACTTACGCCCACGCCCGCCGAGACAACCCGCCTCCTATACCAGCTTTCGGACTTGCTCGCGGACTTTTTCAAAAAGTTCGGGCAGTCCGAAAAACTTTTTTCGCCACCTACCCCCGGACACGACACCGCCCCCGCCCGCTGAAGTCCGTCGCCCGCTCGCTGGTCGCTCACTGGGCCTCCCTCACGGGTCTCACCCGGTGGGCTTGACCGCGCCGAGGGCGACGTGTGAAGAAGCGGAGAGGGGGGTAACACAACCCACACGACCGTCCCGTTCGAAACGGGATTTCGCATCCGACGTCTCCGAAATGGCTCACGCCAATGGACTCCCCGCACGCCGCGGCGCCTTCGGCGCCTGCGACGCGCAAGATGAAGATTGCAAGAGCCTCGACCTCTTTCATCTTTCATCGTTCACCGATACACCACTGCACATGCAACAAGCAACAAGCGCACTGAAGCTAGAAAAAGGGATTTTCATTGAAGCTGCCAGCCCCATAGGCATCCGCACCCCACCGCACTGTATCGAACGGTTTTTAGGAAGAGCGCCACAGACGCCGTTCGATACAGATATATAACGCGTTTTTATCTCGCTCAATTGTCAAATTACAATGGAGTTTGAAAATTAGACGTGATAAAAACGTGACATAATGTAAATTGTGGTGCTCATACTACGAGGTAGGTTCTTTGTAAGAACAGCATTACCTTCAAGGAACTATAAGTCGCGGCACGAAACTCAAGCCCTGACCGTTATTGCGCAGAAGTAAAGATTAAGATGTCTTGGTGGGAAACGTGGTGCGCGGGTGGGCGTACTTGCGCCGATTGGCTCTCCAGTCGTACCCATGCGCAGCTATCCCCTCCGCGTTTTGTTCAGCGCTACAGTTACATGCCGCGACCTGTACAGAGTCTCGTAGGAACCCTGAACTTCCCCAATTTCTGTGTACGGCTGAATTATTGTGCACCACTTAACCTTCTAAACAGTATGTCAAAACAGTATTTGGCAAAATTATACCACATGCCAATCAATGCGTAGCAAAACCAATATATAAAGTGTTTGAGCAAAACTGGATTTGGTAGCTTCAAAATTTAAATCGCCCGTCATTAATTCATATTGCCGACACTGATATCGCATTACAGTACAGTGTATCCTTGTCATTCTCTATACAAAATGAAAAAAAGAGACTGATTTTAAAGTTGGTTTTAAGTTTAGAGAATCAGGCCAGAATCGACACCATTATAGTGATAAAAGGCCTCCGTGTATAACACGGTCACACTGGTCCTGTTTCATCTGTAACAGTAATTCTTTTTATGAAATACGTTATTGTTTTCTCTTCAGTTAAATACAATCTCCTATAAAGATATTTGATGGGTTAAAAAGTAAAATTAAAAAGAATAGTAAAGTAAAACATTATTACAGAAGACTGATTTTCCTTTGCTTTCTCAATAGTAAAAATATTGAACAAAACAAAACAGTAAACTTTTTGATTGGCGGTCTTCGTCGTTTGACTCCTTTGCTTCTTTCATTTCATTCATTTTTCGCTCTTTCAAATACAGAAAATGGCTACCGAGGAGTTGGTGACAGAGCAATTTCAGTTTTTGGGAATAGATGTTCAACAAGAAGTTGTAAGCAAATGTAAGTTACTAATATGTTATAAGAATACAATTTACTAATTAATGCTAATACTCATTCAGCCTCGTAAACAAAAACTTGTTTCTAAGTTTCTACTGCTATGAAATGAACATTCAAGGTTGTTTCACTAAACCTTTTTTTTAAGGTGTAAGTTTATGTGAGGAATACGATGTAGATGCCGAAACTTTAATTGAGACATGGATGGCATTCAGTTTAAATCATATGAACGGTGCGTCGCCTACTATTGAAAATTTGGAGTCTTTAGCGAGAAAGGAATTTTCCAAACGGACAGCGATACGAAGCAACGCGCCCGCTAAAGAAGCTTCGTATTCAAGCACCGCCACTGGCTTGACAGTTTACGGGGCACCTGTTTCTTCACAGTATCCTTTAAAATGTTTGTTATTGCACGTGTTTTTTTAATAACTAAATTATATTTTTTGTTCTCTTTGGGATTCTATCACTATGATAATAAGATTTGCTGACTTCATAAATTATTGTTTTTATACTTTATTTAATATAACCAATAATTTCATACCTAACCATAGGTAACATTTAAGATTGTTTTCGTGTTTTAATTTTAAATAATGCGCTGTGACTAAACTAAATAACCTTACATAAATGCAGGCCAGATAATGAAGTGCTGTCAAATTACATGTCGCCTACTCTGAAGGTATGTTTGCTTGTTATTACTTTTATTAATACATAAGTGTTTTTATCAAAAACTGAACGAAATTCAAGCTGTATACTTGTTAATAAAATAATTGTATATGATATAGAATTAAAGATATTCAAGTTATATACTGGGACTAACTGGGATAGAAGATTATTTCAAGGTTAGATTACAGTTGATGGGTATAAGTCTAGTGGCACAGTGTTCTATTCTGTGACTAGATCTACACTCATTGATTGTTTTTTTACCAAACTGTTCACTGGAAGCTCAAGATCTCATCTACGGGGAATCAAACTTGTACTTACATAGCCGGTCTCAAACAACAAACATAGGTATGTAAATTAATAAAAAATAAACTGTTCCGGTATTGACTTGATGATTTTTGTGGGCGAGTTTGCTTCTGGTTCATGTTCTCAATTCATCATGACTAGATCCATACTCGTCTGCAGCCATCAACTCATTCTGCATATCCATCAACTGGCTCACAGTTTGCTCAAAATATCATTTAACTAATATAAAAATTACTAAGGAAATATATGTTCAAAGTTACAAGTTGTTTGTAAAATAATACATAAAATAGTTGTGAGTAACCTTACTTACTATGTATGTATGTATGTTAGCTTACTTGCAAAATGTTACATAAAAAAAAAACTAGAGCTGGGAGCCACCAAAACCTACAATCCAAACCTGACAGAAAAGAAATAATTCTCAGATTTTAAGTATTTTTAAGTGAAACAATGTTATAAAGTGGCATCATTGAAATAGATGGTGAAATATGGTTACTCTTGATCTATCTTCATGCTTGCTAAAAAAAATTTAGACAATTCAAAAGAGTTGTACTATATCCATATATATATATATGGATATAGTATTGATGTTGTTGATTGTTGATGGAGTTGTACTATATCCATATATATATATGGATATAGTACAACTCTATACATCCAATTTTAATAAAGATATATGAATTTCTGATTTCATGGCACTGACACCGAATGTTAATTTGATTTTAAATGAATTTTAATATAAGTTAAGCCTGATATTCTTATTTTTAAGTAGTTTTGTTTTTATGGTCTGTTTTTATTTTTGTTCAAAACCTTAAATTTTTAAGCTCGAGAAACATCAACTTGCTAAGCAATCTCTCTTTCATATTTCCTAAAATTACAATTTTCCAAAACAGGATTTGCTCCAAAAGTACTAGACATTTTTATGAAATTAGTATGTAACTTAGATACTGACAAACTTATTCAAACAAAAAAACAATCATCAAAATAACCACCATGTAGATATACAAATGAAAATAAAAAATATATTGAAGTTGGTTAAAAATGTTGCAAAATGTTTAAACCCAAGATTTTTTTTTATAGATAGGTCCGACAAATGACTCCACCCCACCTGATGTTAAGTGAAGGTGAAGTCCAGACGCGAAGATAGCTGATACAGCAGTTCTAACTGCCACACCAGCCATCCTCACCCTGCCCGCCTGCATGTTGCTTCTTCAAGCCTCTTTTAAAGGATCCCAGGTTGTAAGAGGGAGGGAACACGTGAGCGGGCAGAGCATTCCATTTACGGATAGTACGACAAAGAAATGAGTCACCAAATTTCTTTGCACGCGTTGGAATTGTAGCCACAGTTAGACGGTGACAACGTAAGCCAGCGCGCGTGGTCCTCTGAAGGAAAGGGGAAGGTGGAAAAAGAGAGAATAACTCCTCAGAGCACTCGCCGTGGTACAGACGATAGAACGCGCTTAGTGACGCCACGTCACGGCGTAATTGAAGAGGCTCGAGGTCTTTAGTCACCTCCTCATCGCCTATGATGCGGATTGCGCGCCGCTTTAACCTATCCAAAGCATCGAGCAAGTACTTAGCGGAGCCATCCCAGAGGTGCGAGCAATATTCCACCCAAGACCGCACCTGCGCACGGTGGAATATGGTAGAACAAACACATATCAAAATTGATTTTTATTACTGATTGAAATTGGGTAATCTTTATATATATAATTCTTCTGTGAGTGTGTATGTCACTGAACTTCTCTTGAACGACTGGACCGATTTTGATGAAATTTTTTGTGTGTGTTCAAGGGGATCTGAGAATGGTTTAGATTCACAATTTTGTCCGCTGGACAACCCCTATTTTTTTAGGGCGGTACGAAGTTCGCTGGGTCAGCTAGTATATGAATATAATTTAATAGTTCAAAAGTCGAAGTTTAATATTCTGCAGCGTAATTCATATTTTATTTCGTAAAAGTATGTTTTTTCATGTAGCAAAGTTAAACGTTTAGGCAGCTGGGAAATATTAAGTTCTTCATTTACGTTTTTCAACGTGAAATAGTTTTAAAACTTGAAATGAAAGGTATAAGGTATTATATATTTTTGAAAAGCACATTTATCAGAGGTTAGAAATAAATACAATTGATTGTTTTTAATACGAATATAAATTTAAAGAAAATGGAGAAATATTTTTTTTTTCCTCAACTTCGTCGAATCTTTTAACATTTAGAGTTGTTTACCGATGCTTTGAATTTAATGTTAAATTATAGGTTAGTTACTCATCTAAAACATATAAAAAAAGTCTGGGAACGGAAATCGCTATAAAATGCGGTTTCGTAGTTTACTTTTATTATCAATAGTTTGTGGTACATTTTATGAATTAATTATTTGATATTGTTATGTAGGTTTTATCATTTCGATGTCATTTTCCGTGAGAAAATAGATATCTGAAATAATTCCCACATTCTGAAACAATATAAAAAGGGCAGTGAAAAAATATGTCTCCATTACCGTTTCAGTGGTCTTTACGTCTACGTACTCTAGTAGGTACGGTTATTTCATTATTCAACATGTCTACTTTTAACTGTACTAAACGTGAGTTAATAGTGTCTTATATAGAAGGCGGAAAAACGACTGCGGCACTTTCAACATATTTGGAGGGAAAACAAATTTCGGATGTCAATATATGTTTTATTATTGACCATATTCAAAGGGATGTCATGCCTTCGTTTAATAAACGCTGGAGTGAAGCAGGACGCAATAAAAATACCTTTTTAAGAAAGAACACCAATTGGTTGGATTCTGAATATTCGTTAACTATACCAACATCAGAAAACGTGTCAACAGACTCTACACCGTCTACTTCTTCTGGTAAACGAGGAAGACCGTGTGTGTCATATGGAGACTTCAGAATCAAGCAAAAAAGAAAAAACACCATTTTGCTAAATGAATATGGTTTGGAGCACATTCTAAGCGCATATCTTCAAGGATTGCGTTCTATAGGAGAAGGAATTGAAGCAAAAGTTGTTGAAAAATTAAGGTTGGCTGATGCAGAGAAAAGGGTTTTCGTTATAAATCAATTAGATGATGCAAAAATAATTAAAGGGCTTACAGATGAAGAAGCATTAAGTGTCTTCATCGACTTGGAACTAACAAAGGCACAATATCTGTATCTCAGGAACGTTACAGATGAAAGAAACTGTTCTTTATTTCCAGCATACTATAAAATACAGGAAATGAAATAGAGGTGCTATCCACCATCATCAACAATCGAAATCACAAATACTTATGCAAAAATATTGAGAGTTCAAGATCTATTGGATCACACTGCAGCTCGAATTTTATCAATAGATAAGGTTTACAAGAATGGACAAAAACATTTACTATTGTATAGCAAATGGGGTTGTGATGGGTCATCTGGACAAAGCCAGTACAAGCAGGCACTACCAGAGGAGTCTGAACTTATTTCCGATGCAAATTTATTTATTACTTCTTTTGTGCCTATCAGATTAACTGACGTGGAATCAGGCGCCATCACATGGCAAAATCCAGTGCCTTCATCTGTTCTTTTCTGTCGGCCTATATCTATAGAATTTTGCAAAGAAACGCCAGAAAAAACTAAATCGGTTGTAGATGAAATAAAAAATCAAATACAAACTTTGTTTCCATCAATAATTAATATAGAAGGCGTGGGAGTCCAAGTCAAGCATGAACTTTTTTTGACGATGATAGACGGAAAAGTGGCACAAGTTTTAACAGATACGCCTTCTAGTTCCACATGTACAATATGCGGAGCAACTCCTAGACAAATGAATGATTTAACGAAAGTAATAGCTAGGCCTGAAAATGAAAATGCTTATCAATACGGATTATCCACATTACATGCCTGGATTCGTTGCATGGAAATGATATTACACATATCATATAATCTATCTTTCCAAACGTGGTCTGCTACAAGCGAAGAAAAAAAAAAGACTCAAACAAGAAAAAAAGGCTGAAGTACAAAAGCGATTTCGTGAAGAGTTGGATCTAAATATCGATAAACCACGACAGGGGACCGGAAATAGTAATGATGGCAATATTGCTAGGAGATTTTTTTACAATGCTGCCTGTTCTGCTGATATCACAGGGATTGACATTGATTTAATTAAACGGTTATATATAATTTTGCAGGCTTTGTCATCTGGTATAGTGGTAGATAGTAAGAAATTTGGTAATAGGGAAGATGCAATATTTTTATTTTTGTTTTCATTTTAAAGAATTCCATGTAGAATAAACCACAGATATATTAAAAAATTAAAACATTGTGATTTATCGGAAAAAATGCGGTTTTAAATTAAATTTTCGCGCGAAAACGAACCTATGGTTGCGATGACGTCACTCCTGTCCTTCACTGGTCGTAATTGTTCGTTGCTGGCTTTAAATTTTCATACTTTTGCATATTTTTTCGACTTTCGAAATATTTTTTTGAAAAATTTAAAATGGACAATCCATCAACATCATGTGATCATAACAATACCACTAATATTCCGAAAAAAAGCCGTGTTGACTCATGTTTTGTGCCAATCTACTTCAACTAAGTTCCCAAATAAATTGTTTTTGACTGGAACTTCTGACCCAAAACTGAAAGAAAAGTGGTTTCAAGCTGCGAAGAGAAATGACAATTATTCTCCAAAGACCATTATTCGATGCTGAGAAGATCACTTTGACGTAAGTTGGCGAATATACTTG